CATCGACATACGCCTAGTACTGACCCGGAAAGTCCATGCGAAAACTGTACGAAGATACGCCAGGTCCACAGTCTTATCACATCGAATGCTGTGTTAGGGCAACAGCGTTGGGCGGTAGTTCGAGCGTTATAATCCCTTCCTCCGGACTCAACTTCTTCTACTGTCCATCTTTCAACTCTTCGTCAATTTCGTGTTTTCCAATTGTTCGTTGCGAGAAAATGTCTGCAGAAGTCGCCACTGATCCTAGTCCGCGGAGCGAGAAATCGGTATCTGCTCATCCATTCTCCCCGCTATCGGCATCAGAACTCCAAGATGCTGCGGCAATCATCAAAGCTTCATGGCCAGCGCACACAGACCTGCATTTCAAGGTCGTAACGCTGCAGGAACCACCAAAAGTCGAGGCACTGAAATATCTGGAGGCTGAGCATAGCGGCAAGCCACTTCCATCAATCGCGAGAAAAGCTTTTGTCAATTACTACATCCGGAACACTGTATGTGCAAAGATGTTGGAAGTATGACTCGCGGCTGACTAGTCGGCAGAACAAGTTCCACGAGGCTGTCGTGGACTTGACCTCACGTCGCGTAGATCGCAACGTCCTTCTAGGGCCCTTTGTCCATGCCAACGCGGATGGCGATGAAATCGTCGCTATCGAGAAACTTGTCCTGACCGATGAGAAAGTACAAGCGGAGATTGCCAAGCTCGAGCTCCCCCAAGGCACAGTAGTAATCAGCGACCCATGGATCTACGGGTCCGACGGAGTTGGAGACGAAGATAGGCTGTGGCAATGCTTCCTATACCTCAGGGACCCGATGAACTCATCAGAAGCCGACTCCAACCACTACGCAATGCCACTTCCTATCTCGCCCGTGGTGAGCACAGAGAAGATGGAGGTCATTCGCGTTGATATACTACCGACTGGTGCAGGCAACACCATCAAGCCGGTTGAAAAGTACAAGATCCAACCGCCCAACGAGTACATACCCGAGGCCCAACAACTGCGCACCGATCTCAAGCCGCTTAATGTTGTCCAACCGGAAGGTGCTAGCTTCCAAGTCGAACAGCAAGGCACATCAAATGTCATCTCATGGCAGAAATGGAACTTCCGCGTTGGTTTCAATCAGCGCGAAGGTATGGTACTGTATGACGTCCGTTACGACAACCGTAGCCTGTTCTACCGAATGAGCTTGTCGGATATGAACATTCCCTATGCGGACCCCCGCCATCCCTACCACAAGAAGAGCGCGTTCGACTTGGGCGATGTTGGTGCTGGTATCATGGCGAACAACCTCAAGCTGGGCTGCGATTGTCTGGGTTCTATCTACTATCTCTCAGCCGTACTCGCCGACAACCACGGTGGGTCTGTGGAGATGCCCAACGTTGTATGCGTCCACGAGCAAGATGCTGGAATCGGTTTCAAGCACACCAACTACCGCACCGGTCGCGCAGTTGTCGCTCGAAACCGGGAGTTGGTGCTCCAGAGCATCATTACCGTAGCCAACTACGAGTACATCCTAGCCTTCATCTTCAACCAGGCCGGAGAAGTCGATTACGAAATAAGGGCTACCGGAATCCTGAGCACGCAGCCTATCGACGAAGGTGTCGAGGTGCCCTTCGGTACAGTCGTGCACCCCGGTGTACTTGCCGTCCATCATCAACATATATTCTCATTGCGCGTCGACCCTATGATAGACGGGTATGACAACAGACTCGTGTACGACGAGGCGTTTCCGATGCCGCGCTCAGACTTCAACCCCCACGGTACTGGCTACTACGTCCAAGAGACCGTCGTAGACAAGTCTGGCGGCTACGACATCGCATACGAGAACAACCGCACTTTCAAGATCCAAAACCCGAACGTGCGAAACCCCGTCAACGGAAAGCCAGTCGCATACAAGATCCAAGCGCCGCCGTTCCAAAAGATCCTTTCCGACAAGGACTCTTTCAACTACAAGCGCGCCGAATTCTCCGACCACAACATCTACGTCGTCAAGCACAAGGACGGCGAGTTGTACGCAGGCGGTACCTACACCAACCAGAGTCGTGGTGGAACGGGAGTGCGGAGTTGGGCGGAGAGGAACGACAACGTCAAAGACACGGACTTTGTCGTCTACATCCAAGCGGGCATCAACCACGTGCCTCGTATTGAGGACTTCCCCGTTATGCCTTGCGAGATCATCAAGATCCACATGAAGCCGGTCAACTTCTTCGATAAGAACCCTGCGCTGGATGTACCACCGAGTGAGCAGGCGTTCAACAAGAGCAGCTTGTTGAGTGAGCAGCACCAGCAGCCGAGTGTTACTGCGACGATTGGTGAAGATGGTACATGCTGTGCGCCGTCGGCGGCAAAGCTGTAGAATTATAGTTTTCACGAATTGAACATCATCACGAAACATTGCGAAAATAATTTTTGAGATACCATGCGATCTTTCAAAGCCAAAATCGGTGTCTATGCAAAGCTGCGAGCTTGAAAAAGAATGTGAACATAGTAAGATGCATCCAACATGTGGCAGATCCATGTCCAACCTTGGAAGGGAGGAGTTGGTCGCATGCCTGCTCAGCAGGTAAGACGCGCCAAGCCCAAAGTCGCGCTAATCACGGTCCAAAGCTCATGCCTCGCGGAACCTTCGAAGCCTCAAAGAAACACTCACTCGATCTCCCGCGATATCCCGACCTTCTTTCACCGTGTAACTTCCAGCGATCTCTTCATCAATATCGAGCCTGCACCGCGATGGCGCCCAACGACAAAGCGGGCAGAGTTGTTTTCATCGGCAACATTCCCTACGGTATGCGACTGCTCACCCTGGAGCCTACATGGACGCCAGATCTTCCCAATCTGCGTCTTTAACACCACTGTATCCCTAAACCGAGCTAACAAACCCAGGCGGCACTGAAGAGCTCATCATCGAAACCCTCGGGCGCGTCGGACAGGTGCTCAACTTTCGCTTGGTGTACGACAAGGAAACCGGGCGCCCCAAGGGCTTTGGGTTCGCAGAGTTCGCCGACGCTGACGCCGCAGCCTCCGCCGTGCGCAACCTCAACGACTACGATTTGATGGGCAGGAAGCTGAGGGTCGACTGGTCCAACGAGAGCGGCTCCGGCGACAACGCGCCTTCCAATCGCGACCAGACCACACAGCCAGCCATGAACGGCCAACAACCAGCAGCACCAGCACCGGCGCAACCGTCGAGCGCGCTGGGTCCTCTTCCACCAGGCGTCGAGCTGCCGCCCAACCTCACCTGCCCCGATGCCATCTCGCGCACCCTCTCTACACTCCCTCCCGATCAGCTCCTCGATATCCTCTCGCAGATGAAAGGCCTTGTCATGACGGATCCCGCCAAGGCGACGGAGTTGCTGCGACAAGCGCCTCAGCTGGCTTATGCCATCTTTCAGTCGCTACTGCTCCTCCAGCTGGTCGACCCACAAATCCTGACCTCGCTTGTGGAGACATCGGCCGCGCCTGCCCCAGTTGCGCAGGCTCCACCTGTTCAGCAAGTACAGCAGCCACCACCGCAAGTTGCGCGACCGCCTGTGAACTACCCCGGATACCCACCACAAGTCGCGCCTACACCTCCCCAAACTCAGCCACCCGTCGCGCAGCCGTACGCGCAGCCTCCACAGCAACAGCAACCACAAGCGCCTGGAATGGACCAGCAGGCGCTGTATGCTCAAGTCATGGCGCTGTCGCAGCAGCAGATTGACCAGTTGGCACCAGAGCACCGCGCCCAAATCCTGCAAATACGGCAGATGTTGATGGCTGGTGGGCGGCCCTAGTTGCGCCGAGACTTCGAGCAGCTTCATAAGAAGCGGAAAGTTGGCCTTGGTCTTGCTATGAGAGACCGCTTGTTCCACGAGCGGGGCGCGGAGGTCCTTTGGTGCATACTACGCGACGTAGGACAGAGCACAACACAACCTGATCTCATCGCGCGGAGCTTACTGGAAATCATGGAATACCCTGATCGCTGCTCCAGGGCGCAGTGCTTAAAAGAAGCGATGTTCTCATATGGCCTGTACAGCATGAAAACTCTCCCAGAAGAAAGCGAGACCTGGGAAATGATGAGTCGTGATTTGGATGGATCATCAGACTCTGGATTCGAATCGGATGACTCAGGCTATGCAGATGATGATGGATTGGACGTGCAGAAACGTGAAGGAACATGTGGAGTGTAATGAGTGGCTCCTCAGAAGGGCTGCATAGCACAGTCGCGAATATATGCACACAGGTCGCACAAGCCTGATTAATGCAAAAATGGATTCAATGTCACACGCGCGCCTTGTTTTTGTTGTAATCCTTGTCGATGCGACTGGGTGATGTTTGACTATCAACGATCGGGTTTAAAGATTTCGGCGGCCTAACCAACATTGAACATGCAAGATAACTACACTGATGGCCTCGGAAATCTCCGCGCACCTTGACTGTGTCCGATGAAGGTCATGGGAGGAGCTCGCAACACGCAGCAAGAGCTACTACTAACTGCCAGAACCACAAGACTAGATTGCCGCGCCCCAGCCTGCACAGTTCACTTTGATCAACACGTTCTCGATGACAGCGAGAACAGCCCCGGAAGAAGCCCCGGTAAAGATCCGCAGAAGAAGCGTTTGCCATCGGGCAGCTATTGGCCCAGCCTCGCCTCCATCCCGTGTGGATCGAGCTAACCCTTGCCGCCAACTCACTCGGTTGCTGGGGCTTACGTCCCAAGCCGAGCACTTCAGCTGCTCTGCACCACACCAATCTTTGCGATTAGTACCGCGAGAGGCTGCTTTGGTTGTCCTTGGGCATTGCGCGCATACTTTCCTAGCCATTCTGCATCGGAAACCTGTACTATATCATCACGACATGACGATTTGAACGATTCTCTCTCACTTGCGACTGTCTGCAGCGATATACCCAGCATATCCCACCAAGAGACTCATCTCATTTGCGCCCGACCCATTGCCAGCACCACTTTGTAATAACAACGCATCTGCGCCCCCGCGATCCTGACTGCAATCCTGCGCCATCATGTGGAGCAGATTGACCGGTAGCTCTGCTGCCTCCAACAGCAACAAGGACGAGGAAAGTCGCCGCCGCCGTACTAGCGACTCCACGCGTTCCAAGCGCGACCCAGACGCCCGCTCTGTCGTGTCATCCTCGACGACGCGCAAGCCATCGACATCGACCTCATCTAAACGTGACACTGCGCCTTCCGCGTCCTCGATTGCCTCCTTCACGACTGCCTTCGACGAGATGCCGCGCTCACGGGCCACAACAAACAACACCAGCGATCCCTACGACGACGACAACAGGCGTCGCGACGATCGCCGCAGCAGCTATGCCGAGTCGTCCAGCTCGACACTGCGCGACGACAAGGACCGCAAGACGGGCAAGGCCAAGGACAAGAAGCTCGAGAAGCGCCGCTCGACGCGCTCAGTGCGGTCCGGCAGCACGTCGCAAACTGGCGCCGGCTACAGGGGCGAGATTGTTGACAGTCCCAAGTCGGTCCAGCGCAGCTTCAGCGGCCAGATTGGCAGCGACGGCTTCTCGCAGTTCCCAGGACAGGCAGGAGCGCCCATGATGTCGGGCGCTCTGCCAGTAGGAAGCCACCCACCACATCCCGACGACATGGACGATCACGTGCAGAGCCAGTTCCCCGGCCAGGACCCTCTGCAATACACCTCGAGCGCGCTCCCTGGCGGCCATCCATTTGGAGCGGCTGCCGACTTCTACAACGACCAGGGCCAGTCGGTGCACCAGCAGCCTGGCGTGAGGCCCCAGCCGCCCTCTGTCATCATAGGACAGGATACCCCCCATCTCATGTCTGCCTCCGCGCAGCCCAACCCGGTTGCCGACACCGGATCGGGCGCCGCTGCAGACTTCTACGGGCCCAGCACAAATGGCTCTTCATCCAGACCTCCACGACCATCGAGCTCGTCCATGCCCGGTGCCTTCGTCGACGACACCCCGACGCCCCAGAAGCCACCGCGACCCGCATCTTCATCGAGACCCAACAAGTCGAGCACCTTCGGCCCAGCTGCTACTGCGGCCGGCGGAGCTGCCCTGGGATATGCCATGGGCCACAGCTCTTCTAATCATGAACACACCACGAGCTACAGCTCATCGAACGTTCGCCCTTCTACATCATACTCTTCTTATACTAATAATACCCCCCCGGCTGCTCCGGCTTCCACGTACAACATGTACGGCCCGGGATCTAATGCTTCTAATACCGCTGCCAACGACGGCAGCTACCTCCCACCCTATGCTGCAGCCGCCGCCTACGGCGTGGAAGGCGCGCCTCCTCCAAAGCCACCTCGGCCAGCCAAGCCAGAAAAGCACTCGTCTGGCAGCATGGCTGGACTGTACGCTGCTGGCGCCGCTGGACTGGCGGCTTATGGCTTAAACCAACATAATTCACATTCACACACCCACTCCAACACCCACACACACTCGCACAGCACACACCATCACCCGTCGACGCACGGTCCGAACGGACATCACCACAATGGCCTTACACCCAGTCCATACATCTCAGGCGGCATGGCTCACCAGCATCAGCACACTGGGCCTGTTTCCAAGTTTGTCGACTGGTGGAAAGACTACGAAGACGTGCAGAAGATGGAAGAGTACACCGAGTACATTGGAGTTTGCAAGGGTTGCTTTGACCCTCGCTCTTCCGTTCTGGACGCCCCACGGAAGCACCACTACTACAAACGGCGATCCAATGAGTTTATGCGACCCACTGGTGGCATTGAGAAGCAATCTCGATACTCGCTCAAGGAGAAGAAGTCTTGGGGCTCAATCTCTTCGGGCGAGGAGCGTCGCAAGAACAAGAGCAGCGCCGCGGGCTGGGTAGCTGCAGGCCTGGGCGGCATGGGCCTTGCCAAGGCTGGAAAGGCTGTCTTCAGCGCGGGTCGCGACGACTTTGACGACACATACAGCATCAAGTCCGGTCGGTCGAGGGTCTCACGACACAGCCGCAGCAGATCAGGGGATCGCAAGAGTTACAGCTATGGTAGCTCTGGCATCCGCCACCGGAGCAATTCTGCCGACCGCATTTCCGTCATGTCCGTAGGCGTTACGAGCGACAAAAAGGACCGTAAGGATCACAAGGTTGTTCGCCGCCAGTCTCGGTCGCGCCGTTCTCGCTCAAGCTCAACTTCAAGCTCCAACTCAGGACGCGGCAAGACAGGCCTGATCGGCACTGCCATTGGTGCAGGTCTTGCAGGAGTCGCCCTTGGAGCGGCCACAAAGAAGAAGCAGCACAGCCGATCCAGGTCCCCGAAGAGGGTCCAAGTGGTTCATCACCGCAGAGACAGCAGTGACGATGAGCGTCGCAGGAGAAGATCGCATTCACTCCGACACAAAGCATCGCGAAGCTCAACATCCGGAGCCTCTGTCATCGAGATTGGCCAGAATCACGAGTCTCAGGGTGGCTTCCTTGGAGGCTTCTTCTCTGCACCCCCACCAAAGGAGAAGCGAGTGAAGACAGCCAATAGCCTGAAGAAAAAGAAGAAGGGCTTCTTCAGCTTCAGCAACGCTTCCACATCCTCATCCGACTCCGAGATGGCATTCGGCACCGGCTACGTAAGGAGGACGCGCAGACGATCGTCGCCGAAGAGACGAAACTCAGATGAGCGATTGAAAGCTTCGCTACTTGGTCTTGGCGCTACGGCTGCTGCTATCACAGCCGCGAAGGCTGGCAAGGGCAAACGTCACAACGAGGTCGTTGCTGTTAAGGAGAACCGTCTTGGTCGCAAGACAAGTCAAACTTCGCGGCCCGCCTCTCGTTATGGAGACGACGAATGGGAGGACTTGCCAGACGATGGTACTTCCGACTCTTCGAGTGATGGCGGTCTCGTATACGGCGATTACTCCCTGAAGAAGACCAAGAGCAACGAGTCTATCGGATCCAACCACTCAGGTACGAACAAATGGGGCTGGCGATGGGGCTTTGGCAAGAAGAGAAGGTCTTCCAACAACCTCTACGACAACATCGCTAGTACATCGCTCATTGGGCCTGCAGCAGCTGGCGCAGCAGGTGCCTTGACCGGCGCAGCTGTTGGAGCTGCCCATGGACACCACGACAGCGAGTCTAGCAGCGCCCAAACATTGCAATCGGTCTATCCTGTTGCACCCCATGATCCCAATGCGTCGTTCGATGCACGCCGTACAAGCTCTATCGTCACCAATCAGCCTATTGTCACCTCAGGACCTGGTCCCATCCCCATTCAACACCCTCAGCCAGTGCAGCAAGTCCCTGGCGCCATCTATTCAACACAAGCACCATCACAATCTGGGTACACCACAGCAGGTCCTTCAGACTTCCCACCAGCACCTTACCCACCTCCTTATCCCACGCAGTCTCAAGTTCAAAACATTATCATTCAAAATCCTCAGCATCCTCAATTCCGTCGGGCAAACTCTTCTCCCATCCAAAGCTCGTGGAAGCGAGATGCGTCTATTGCTGGACTTGCAGCGACTGCCGGATTTGCAGCAGTTTCTGCGATGAAACACCCCGACCGACCTCCGAGCCGACCGCCGTCCGCGTCTAGCAATGTTCGCTTCAACCTAACACAAGAGCAGGCAGAGAAGGACCTCCGTGAGCGGCGGAAGGAGCAGGAGCGACTAGACGAGGAGGCCGAGCGTCGCCGAGAACAACAGAGACGCGAGGACGAGGCGCGTCGGGAAGAGGAAGACCAAGTGCATCGAGAACAGCTGCGACAAGAGGAAGAGGCCCGGCGAGCGGCACTTGCGCTCCGTGAGGAAGAGGATCGCCTGCGCAGAGAACGGCAGCTACAAGAGGATGAGGCTCGACGGATTGAAGAAGACCGCCGGCAGACATTGCTCCGCTTGGAGGAAACGACACGCCAAGAAGAAGCGCGACGCCGAGATGAAGACGAGCGACGTCGCCTGGAGCTGCAACGGCAGCAGGAGGAGGCCCGCAAGTTCATGGACATCGAACGCTTGGCGAGGCTCGAGAACGAACGCCGTCGCGAACAGCAAGAGGTCCAGGCACGCCTCGCTCGGGAAGCCGAAGACCGCGAACGTCATCAACGGATGTCCGAAATGGAGCGCCAGCGTCAGCTCGCCATCGAGGCTGCGGAGGCTGAGCGCAAACGGAGAGAGCGCCGTGAATCTCAACAACAAGAAGCTGAGCGCATCGATGCCGCGAGACGTGAAGCTGAGATCCAAGAGGACATGGAGCGCCGACGCAGGGAACGCGAAGCTCAGGACTACACCGACCGATACGAGAGCGACCGGGCTCGGAAGCTTGAGCAGCAGCCAACAGGAGATTCAATGGTTTCGACTGCCACCGTTGTACAACGCAAGGAGCAGGAGCTACAAGACCGCGAACGCGAGGCTTTCAAGTCTGACAAGAAGTCTTCCGTTGCTGGCGCAGTAGCTGCTGGTGCAGCAGCAGCAATCGCAGCTGCCGCGATCAAGGACTACAAGGACAACAAGGACAAGGAGAAGGAGAGGGAGCGTGAGAAGAAGCGCGACAGCAAGTCTTCGTCTTCAACGAAGAGCAGCAAGAGCGAATCCTCCTCGTGGAAGCGCAGCAAGAACGATTCTTCTTCGTCCAAGAGCAGCAAGAGTGAATCTTCATCCTCGAAGAGCAGCAAGAAGCGGGAGCCAACCAGCGTCAAGACTATCGAGCCTAGCAAAGTCAAGCAGGACATCTTTGACGAGGACATCTTCAACCCCGATATGTTCAAACAGAAGGACACTTCACGCCAGGACGCTCGCGAAGTCCTTCAAGATTGGGAACAGAGATACTATGCAAAGCCAATATCCCAAGCTGAATTCTTCGCACCGGAAGAGCTCTTGGCCAACGACAACCTGCCCAAGGTCCGCCCAGTAGACCCGAACGAGGGTGCTCCAGATCTGCCCATCTACCAGTCCTGGGAAGACTATCCTGTCAGCCAGCCCAAGGTCCCGCCTTATCCTCCATCGTACGCTTTCACCGCCACCAGAAATGGTCGGTCCTCTCAACCACAACCGCTACCTCAAGTTCCATCGCTGAACCTCATCTTGCCTACTCCTCCCGGTAGTCGCACACCTTCTGTGCGCAGTGCATCTGCCCCTCCATCGCCCGCTATGGAACCCATCAGGGAGACCAGAGAGACTAGACGTGAGCCAAGAGATGACGAATCGAACCGAGCAAGGTCCAGGGTAAGCTGGGGCGAGAACCAGTTCCACCACTTTGACGTACCTACTCCGGAATCTTACCGCGAGCAATTTGTCTCAGATGGTGATCTCAGGTCGCGTGAAGCCACCGTCGAGCGCGAGCCGCCCAAGCCCGAACAGACGACGTCCACCTACACGCCCTACCGCCCCGAGATGTCAAGAGTCCCCGAGAGCAAGGAGACTGCACCAAGCACGCAATACGTTCGGGACGAGAAGGACTCCAACTGGGACAGTGTCGTGGATGCTGCTTCCAAGAAGAGCAACAAGAAGGAAAAGAAGTCAGCTGCAGCGGCGGCAGCAGCAGCACTGACGACTGCAGCGGTTCTTTCCCGAGATCAACGAGATCAAGAGGACGAGCGTAGTTACAGACGCGACAATCCGACTGCATCTGCCCTGAGCAACCCAACTGCATCGAACCTTAGCAGTGCGACCTCCTACGATTTCAGCGATCCAACTGCGTCTACCGTCAGCACTATCGTCAGCAATGCAACTGCAGCTGGGTTCAGCAATCCGACTGCTTCTTCCTTGAGCAACCCGTTTTCCGATGGAAACAGGGCCCCATCCACTATCGCTCCATCGATCATCTCAGCTGCACCATCTTCCACAGTCACTCCTTCCATCATCTCAGCTGTGCCATCTACGAGCAGCGTTCAGACAGCATACTGGCAGCCTGAGTCAGAGCGCGACGCGTGGAGGGCGCCCCAACAGACTACAGTGGGACCTGGCTTTGTTGAAGGCGAGATTCCTACACCGCCAGTGTCTATGCACATGCCCGGCGGCTGGGACGACATACCGGAATCTGAGGTGCTCGCAGAGGAGCCGCCGACATCGTCTGCGAAGAAGGACACAAAGGGTAAGAACAAGGCTAATGATACTGACGAAGTTGTAGCTATGCAGAATGTTTCTCGGCGTGGAGAGCCAACATCTGCGGTGAAAGAGAGGGAAGCTGAGCCAGAGGTCAAGCTCAGCAAGAAGGAGAAGAAGGACAAGAAGAAGAAGTCCAAGTCATCGAAGCGAGCCAGTGTGGACACTTGGGAGATGAGTGATCCCAGTCCGCCATCAAGCCCGATCATGGAGCGCGATCCCAGGGACATTGAGCCCTCCCGAGATCCCAGGGATATTGAACCTTCTCGATCTGCTGAAACCTCACGTTTCGCCGACTCTTCTCGCTCAACTGAGCCATCTCGATCTGCCGAACCACCACGTCTAGGAGAAGCATTCCAAGAGTCCCCTAGTCCTCCGAAGAAGCCTGCGCGACAAAGTGAAAGCAGCGGCGGTAAAGCCTCCACCGCTGCCATGGCCGGTGGTTTCGCTGCTCTAATGGGCATGACCATGAACCAGGATCAAAACAGGATGGCCTCGGATGCCGAGCGTGCCAGGAAGGATCTTGAGTCCACAGAGAAGCACCATTCACGCGACTCGCCTGTATCTCCACCGAATGGCGCACGTGCACTCGAACGGAATGAGAAGAATGTGACAATCCCAAGCTACGCATTCGAGGGCGTTGAGGAGCTGGCCGATAAGACACCCAGGCCGAAAGTCCAGAAAAGACACAGCAGCGGCAAATGGTCACCTAGCATTAGTTCTCCTCTCAGGACCGAGACGACGTATGACGACTACATAAACGCCCGCACCATTCCCGATCCTTCCAGATACCAAACGATGGTCGAGGCCCCGAAGGTTCCCACTGCAGCGCCGTTCACGATGGCGCATGATCCAGTCACCGCTCGTAACGTAACCGACTCTGGGTACTATGCTCCCGACGACGTGCCGAGCCGGGCGGGCAACGACGAAGAATCGAATGGATTCTATCCCGCAGACTTCAACGAGGAGGCAAAGGACAGGCACTCACGAAACGATCGCGACCAGGATGTCGATGACAGATACGATGATGACTTCGACGACAGACCACGCAGGTACGATGATGACGATGTGGGCTCAATCGCTTCTCTTAGCTACAAGTACGACGACCCCGATCGCGAGGAGAGACGCCGCAGACGTCGCGAAGCCAAGTCCGAGACACGTGTGAAGAGCCACGACCGCGATTACGATCTTGAAGAGAGTGGAGAACGGAGGCGAAGACATCGCCATCATGAGGCTGATGAGGGCGCTGACGACTGGGACACGAAATCCGCCATCTCCGAGACTGGCGAGCGTCGACGCAAGCACAGGAGAAGGGATGGCGACAGAGACGCATCACCCGAGACCAAGACTAGATCACGCTCGTCAGCAGCTTCCGAACTCGGCGACTACGATGATGATCGCAAGTCCTCCCGGAGACGATCTAAACGAGATGATGACATGGTTTCCGTCGTATCCTCAATCCCAGATCTAGACGAGGATCGCAGCTCAAGGAGGGAGAAGGAGAAGCGTCCAAGTGGCTTCCTGGGCCTTTTCGGCAGCAAGTCGAGGGAGAACTTGAAAGAAGCTTCAAGCAAGTCCTCGAAATCTAAGGACGACGACGATGAAGAACGCAAACATCGTAGACGGAAGCATCGGTCGGATCGCGGTTCCACCTACGGCGGCTCAGACGATGATGACATGCGCTCCACGATCTCGACCAGTAGTCGACGCGAAAAGAGGAGCAGCCGCAGTCGTAGCGAGAGAGGAGACGGAGACAGGACGGATGCTTATGATGACAAGGTACATCGCTCTTCTCATGTGCGATAGCACCGTTGTTCGCAATGTATTTAGAATGAATGTTGATGTCGTGTTTATAGGATCTTTTACAACCTCGAACCCCGCCCTCGCATGCCGATGAACAACAGCAACCACAACAGCAGTCTTTTTTAGGCGATCGGGCAGTGACCACAGCCACTCCAAGTCCACTGCCCGTAAGTGAGCCTGTCGATCAGGCCCACGAGGGTAGTGGCATGATCCTTGGGGATCGGGCCGAGTTTCCTCTTTCGACCTCGGATGATGCCCAACGCTTCACCGCCTCTGGAGACAACGACCTACCACCCGAACTATCGTTCGAAGACAGCCGCGCGCTTCTAACTCGCCTTACAGGCCTTCAGCCTTGGCAGCTGGAAGCTTTCCCCGATGAGCTACCTCCGCTGCCGCTGTCTAGGCCAGGTTCGCCAACACGTTCGCCAGACGTCACACGTCCTTCGACCGCGATTTCTCAACGTCGACTATCATCAACGGCAGTTCCAATACGCTTCCGCAAGCCCGTCATACCCTCTACCGTTGACCCTAGCTTAGCAGCTGATCCTCTTCCTGGCCCTTCACCAACCCGTTCTCGCCATGGCAAGACGCACTCCACAGAGTTTAGGAACTCTCGAGAGTTCCGACCTTTGTATCTGGTGGAGCGCAACCGCAAGTCCAATGAGATCGATGAGGTGTTGCCAGCGCTTCCACCCAGTAGTGCCTCTTCAGTAGTCTCTGGCGCGGATTCAGAAGAAGAGTTTGAGTCTGCTCAAGAGTCGCCTTACGAGAGCGCTGGACAGTCATCTTATGACTCATTTTTCGATCCTTTGAGTACCGTAGCCGACCTCATTGCGCCCAGCCATGGACCGGAGCCTCAGCATCCCGAGCTTGCCCATCGCGAGATTGAAGAAGTCGAGGAATCCGGCCAAGCTACTCCCAAGGCCTCTGACTACTTCACAGGTGCCCAGGAAGCGTCAGCACCGTCTAGCGGTCCCAACTATGAATCGCTTACTGCGGCACTGGAGCATGCCAGAGCACAGGAACAGGATTCGTCCACCGACGATTTCATGTCGACTTTGACCTCCCCACAGGCGGAGACTCCTCTTGAGACGAGCGCGCCGCTCGACGACAAGATGATGCGCGACGTTCCCAAATCCCGCGACACTACTTCTGCCCCATCGAGTAGTTCATCAAGACTCCAAGACGCTGCTCTGAGCGCAGTAGTGGGAGGATTGACAGCAGCTGCTTTGCGAAAACGCTCTCCTTCACCAACTCGATCTCAGCGCGATGACACCAAAGACAAGGCTTCGTCAGCTGCTGAGCCAGAGCAACCTGAGCCCGAAACCATCGAACCTGTTGTCGAACCATCGCCAAAGGGCAAGGGTAAGGCCAAGAAGACCAAGAAAAGTAAGAAGGGTAAGGAGCCCGTCGCCGCCGAGTCTCCCGTAGCTCCATCGCCTGTTATCCCATCGCCCGTAGCTCAATCACCCGAGGAGATAATGAAGCCATCGCCCTCCTTCAGCTTCGCCACTACCTTCGTTGACAACGAGGAAGATTGGGCCAAGAACAGGACTGAGTCCGTCGTTACGGACGATGCTACGCTTGTTGGTGAGCCTGTCGGAACGCCCAAGGATACCAAGGCCTTTCAACAGAAGGTATTGGACACTACTGCACCAAAAGAGGACGAATCCACCGAGGTCAGACGCGCTGTCTTTGATAATATCCCTCAAGAAACTGCGAGATCAATCGAACCTGTCGAAGAGGCAAAGCAGGGTCTTGGGATCACTACCGGACCGGCTGCTACAACTGTCGAAGTTTCACAAGACGCCCCTGTTGAGCCTAGCTCTTCCAAGTCTGTTGAACCCGCAATTCCTGAGCCGATCGTCGAGGAGGAAGTTGCGACTACACCCAAGTCCAAGAAGGCGAAGAAGAACAAGAAGGGTAAACGCGGCAACAAGCAAGCTGAGCCCGAGCCCGAGCTTGAACCCGCAGCTCTACCGGAAGTTCCTGCTCAAGATGATCAGATCTTGCCTTCGTCGGAGTCGCAACAAGACACTATTGAACGCGATATCCTCGAGCCATCTTTCGAACGCGATGAGCCCAAGGACAAGGCCGAAGAGCCCAAGGACAAGGTTGATGTCATGGATTTCTTGGTTCAAGAAGAGGCACCAGCCACTTCGACAGATGAAGCAGTTCCACAAGAGGCGGTGCCTACACCTACTGCTGCAGCAAACCCTGAAGAACCGCCAGCTACCTCGACCGACGAAGCAGTCCAAAAAGAAACAGAGCCTGCACCCGTTACTCCAGCAAACCCCGAAGAGCCCAAGTCGGAAGTTTCAGCTGGGCCTGCCACGCCAGAAGTTCCCGCTCGGCCTAGCACAGCTGACGGCGCCGAACAAGCCAAGAACACACCCGTTGAAGAAAACCGCCGAGCCTCTGGGATCGAAGGACAATCGGCAGGTTCAGGCTGGGGTTCCGGCCTGTGGGGTGCTATTGGATGGGGCAAGAAGAAGGCCCCGCCGCCGCCAACATCCGAGCCTCCGTCTTCTCCGAAGCCACAATCGGCCGTCCTCGCCGCACTAGCTGCTGCCAGGGAAGAGGCCAAGCGCAAGTCGCAACCATCCTCACCAACTGTGTCTGAGAGGAAGAGTTCCAAGTCCGAGAAGAGGCCTTCAATCTCTCGAGTGAAAACGCAGGATGAGACTTCAAAGCCGGAGCTGTTGCAGAAGATCGAGTCTAGGAGATCGTCTGTTCCTACACAGCGACCTACTGAGGCTACGACCCGCGAAATTGTCAAAGAAGAAGCTAGCTCGAGCACCACGCCTCCCACTGCGGTCTTCACTGATGATGGGAAGCCTTCCTTTGCATTCCCCCAGCCATCAGCCGCTCCTCAGGAACTATCTATCGAGACTCCCAAGGAAGCTCATGTCGTCGAAGAGAAGGCTACGAAGCAATCTGAAGATGCTACGCCGTCTACTGCCTTCTTCACCGACGACGACAAACCGTCTTTCACATTCCCACCGGTATCCTCTGCGCCTGCAGCTGAACCAACGACAAAGCCCGACGAGGCGCCTGTTGCCAAAGAGGAAGAGAGCCCTGCGTTCGTGTCCCCGCGTACCGCATTCTTTACCGATAATGGGAAACCATCTTTCACCTTCCCCACGATGCCATCCGCCCCTGCGGTCGAGCCAAGCGTCGCATCGAGGGAAGTACCTCTCGCGGAGGAGACACCGGCTCCCGTTGACGTCTCGCCACGGAATGCGTTCTTCACAGATGACGGCAAGCCTTCGTTCTCGTTCCCTTCGGTGCCGTCTGCGACTGTCGAGCAAGCTCCTTCAGTCGCGAAGGAAGCAGAGGTTGTGGAAGAGCAGAAGAAGCCTGCGTTTGTCGCGCCCCGAAGCAGCTTCTTCACTGATGATGGAAGACCTTCATTTGCATTCCCATCAGTGCCAAAGTCTACTGAGCAAACTGCCTCAACTGCCGATGAAAAGGCCCCTGCGAAGACACAAGAACCAGCCGCTTTCGTCGCACCTCAGACCAGTTTCTTTACCGATAATGGCAAGCCTTCGTTCTCGTACCCATCAGTGCCCGCATCCACCGCGCCCTCGACAACGAGCAGCAAAGACACCATCGTTGAAGAGAAGCCTGCGGAACAATTGTCTCTTGGCCGAAGTGGTTTGTTCACTGATGCTGGAAAGCCTACAAGCACCATCTCTGACTTCGTCCCGACTTCGTCTGGTGGGTCTGCTTACGACCGTATCTCGGTCGAACCCAGCTCGTCAAAGAAGAAGATCATCAAGACCAAGAAGGAGAAGAAGGCGAAGAAGAGCAGCGTACCGATTCCCGATTTCGATGAGCCTGCGGCCGATGCTGCTAAGTCTGTCGATGCTCCAGTTGACACGGCGGCAAAGGATCTAGGCGACCAGGTGGCCGCCGAGGCTGTCAAGCCTAAACCTGAAGCAGACAAACCTGCGGAGACTCCTTTGGAATCTGCAATCGAAGCTTGGGGCGAACAGCTAGTATCTGAGCCAACTCCTCTGACTGAAGAGCCGCCTATCGTTGATTCTGCCGAACGTACCGTCAAGCGCGAGCAACCAGCTACTACAGAGCCATTTACCATCGACGAAGATGAAGTCACGTCACCTGTCAGCAAGAAGAAGGCTAAGAAGAGCAAGAAGAGTAAGAAGGCTGAACTCGAAAGCACTGAGGTTGAGACCGCAGCCCCAACAACTCCGATCGAACCTGCTGCTCAACGTTCGCTGGATGCTCCTGCAAGCGAATCTGCACATGTCACCGAGACTGTTGCTGAACCGGTATCCGCAGAGGTTGTGCAAGAGAAGATCGCGCCCTCTAACACGGAGGCTGCAGAGCTTGTATCCGAGCTCGCACCGACTGTTGAAGAGCCTGCCCGTGAAGAACCCTCTCAACCTGTTGATGTGGCCACACCCGCAGAGCGTGAAGCACCAGCTGAGTCCGTGCCTTCTGCTCAAGAAGATGCGCCAAAGACAAAGAAGAGCAAGAAGAGTAAGAAGAAGAGCGGTATCTCCACGCCTCAGGAGGAGCCTATGACTGCTACCGAGCCATCTTCTGTGACAGCTTCTGAGTCTATCGCCGACCAGCCGACTTCCGTTCCGGACGTCATCCAACCTCCTATTGTCAAGGCTGCTGACATCCCTTTGCCTGCGGAGCAACCCGATGAAGACCTCACACAGCCTCTCGAAGAGGCACTCCCCAGAGATGCCCCTGCCGAGCAGGAGCCAATTCCCGAGCCCTCTTCCGCACCTGTAGAAGCCGATCCCCCTGCTACACCCAAGACCAAGAAGATCAAGAAGAGTAAGCGGAAGAGCGGCACTGTGACACCCCAGCCTGAGGCCGAAGCTGTACCTGAGCAGACCGAGGCACCCATTGAGACTTTTGCCCCGATCAGCGGACCAATAGCAACTCCAAGCGAAGTGGTCGATCGATCCCGCGATATTGAGCTACCTTCATCGGCCAAGCAAGCTGCCACTGTAGAGACCTCTCTACCCGAGCAGAAGCGTGACGATGGAGCTGATGCCGCGACTGTCCCTCTCCCAACAGAGAGCTTCGATGAAGATCTCTCCACTCCATTAGAGCAGCCAAAATCTGTGGACGAGATTACTCGTTCTGCTGAGCCGGCGGTCGAGCAGGCTCCGTCAACACCCACTTCGAAGAAAGACAAGAAGAAGAAGGGGAAGAAGAGCAAGGGTATCTCGACGCCTGTGGAGGAGGCTGTGGGTCAAGAGGAGGAGAGCAAGAGTAGAGAGATTGGTCAAGGGGAGGGACTCTTTGGTGCGGAGACATCAGTCAAGGAGAATGTTGATGCGAAGGATACGGCTACCGAGGAGACTGGATCGGCCCTTCCCAGAGAGCAACTGCAGTCAGACGTTGCGGAGCGTGCGAACGAGGACTTTGCGTCAGCTGAGCCAACTCGACTTGAGCCCCTGTCTGAGGCTTCTATCGTCCCAACAGAAGATGCACCAATCGCCGAGCCAAGCCAGCCTGTGGATCTAGTCGTCGATGATGTCGCCGAGGCCCCATCTTCTTCCAAGAAAGACAAGAAAAAGAAGAAGAGCAAGAAGGAGAAGGCCGATGACGAGGCACCGACCACCCCGACCACCGATGTCCAGCGCGAGATGGAGCCTACTCTACAGGCTCCTGAAGCACAACCCGTTACCGAAGCTCTGCCTGAACAGCAACATCCTGAACCTGTTCAAGAAGTATCGGTCGATATTATTCCGGAATCCGGCGCGGTTGTTGAAGACACTGCCGAAACCGCCGCAAGGCAGACTTCCATGGACGTTTTGACTCCTGCACGAGAAGCCCCAGTCGAAGAGCCCACACGACCTGCCACGCCATTGGAGGAAGAGCCTTCGACGCCATCAAAGAAGTCTAAGAAGAAGAAGGCCAAGAAGGGTAAATCCGTCGAGATTGAACCCACTTCTGCAGATCCAGCCGATGTGCAGACGGAGACCCAACCTTCTATGGAAGCCGCTGGACCTGAATCTCAGTCAATCGTGGACGCCGCACTCGCCGGATCTTCCAAACCAATCCAGGAGGCCCAGGTCGAGACTGAAGCAATCGCAGCAGACCGAGCGATCGAAGTCGCGCCTGAGGTTCCTGTAGAGTCAGTCGCCGGAGCAGAGGCGGTGCCTCTTCCCGAGACGCCGGCCCGCGAGATCGATGAGCCCATCGCGGAGGTTTCTCAGTCCTCGGTGCCTGCCGAAGATGTTCCATCAAAGCCATTGCAAGAGGCTTCAACCACCGAGGCAGAAGCAGTACCTCTTCCAGAGACGCCAGCTCGAGAGATCGACGAGCCGATCGTGGATGATCTGCCGGCAACCCCATCGAAGAAGAGCAAGAAGAAGAAGGCGAAGAAGGGCAAGTCGGCTGACACCGAGCCAAGCACGCCTGTCACTGAAGTAACTTCTTCCCAACCAGACCCGTTCGCGGAATCTGCTCAACCTGAGGTGCCCACAGCTGAGACTACCCCATCGATGCCAGTTGAGACTTCCAAGCCAGAGCGCGAGACTCCATCGGCTGAGCTTGTCGCTCTGCCAGAGACCGAGGACAAGGATTTGGAAGAGCAGAGAATACCTCAAGTTGAGGCCGCGAAGTCACAAGAAGAAGCATCACCAGCTGAGCTCGTAGCTCTTCCCGAAACAGACGACAAAGATCTCGACGAGCCCGCAATTCCCCAAGTCGAGACTGCGGAGAACGTCTTTGTTGTTCCTGAGGTCGTTGCCAACATCTCTGATAAGGTGGATACCACACAGCCAGAGCGCAGCCAAGACATCGACGTTCCTGTGGCTCCCACTGAGCCTGTCGCCGAAGCCGAACCAGCTGAGCCAATCTCCAAGAAGAGCAAGAAGAAGAAGGGTAAGAAAGGCAAATCCATCGACACTACTGAGCCCAGCACACCGGTTACTGAGGAGCTAGCACCACCGCTCGACGTCCCTTCTGAGACTGTTCAAGAGGAGAACCGTATTGAGGATACTTTGCCGCCTTCGCAGGAAACGACTCGCACAGTTGTTGACATCGATGAGTCTGCACTCGTCCAGGAGAGCGTCAAGGAGACTTCTTCCGCGCAGCAGAACACGCCTGTCGAGGAGGCTTCGGTTGCGCCTACCCCTTCCAGCCAAGACATCGAGAATGAGGGCGCCGAGCCTGTCTCGAAGAAGAGTAAGAAGAAGGCAAAGAAGGAGAAAGCCAACCAAGAGGCCGAGGTTGAGCAATTCCCAGCGACGCCTCTGCCTAAGCCTATTGCGGAAGATACTGCTGCCGATGCCAAGCTTGATGTCAACCTTGAGGCAGCTGCACCCGCAACCACTGAGCAGCACCAGACTGTCAAATCTTCAGAGGTCGAGCCCAAGGTCGCCGATGCCTCTTTTGAGAAGCAGACCGAGCCTGCTGCCGACGTTGTCGACTCGGTAGCACCTCTTGAGACTACAGAGCGTTCATTCGACGATGTTGCATCAGCGGAGAGGACACTGCCCGAGACTTCACAAGTTCAAGACCAGGTTGAGGCCGAAGATGCTCCCAGCACACCCAAGAAGAGCAAGAAGAAGAAGAAGGGCAAGAAGGGAGAGTTGGTCTCGGAACCTCAGACTCCCGTTACCGAGTCTGAGCCAGTCTTCCCGGAAACCATTGTCCAAGAAGCGCTTCCATCTACCACTGCGACTACCGAAGAGTCTGTTAGTCGGGATGTTGCATCCGAGCCTACTGCCGATGTTTTGCCTACGCCTGTCGAGACATCCACTACTGAGCAAGATGTCCCCGCTCCTACAGAGCCAGCGCTGGTTGAGGAAATGGTTCAGGCGATCGATCTTGAGCCAGCGCGTGATGAACCCGTCCCAGAGCAAGCCCCCGAGGAAGCGACACCACTCTCAAAGAAAGACAAGAAGAAGGCCAAGAAATCTAAGAAGGCTGAATCTGAGAGTGAGATGCCTGAGGTCTCTTCTGCGCCGGTCGAGACCGTCTCGAAGACAGTTGATGAGCCAGCTCGCGAGGAATATGTCGTGCCGACTGTCCAGGAGACACCCATCGAAGAGCCCGTCGCTGAGACACAGAGCATCCCCGAGGCTACATCTCCCAAGTCGATGCCAGTGGTCACCGCAGGTGAAGACGATATACTTCCAAGCATTCCCCTAGCTGAAGATGCCGCTGTCACCACTTCGACCGATACCGCGCCTGCAACTGGAGCGCAAGATGAAGTCACAGTAGTCGAGAACGAGGACGTTGCGCCTGCGACTGAACAGCACGAAGAGGAGTCTACTTCCAAGAAGAGCAAGAAGAAGGCCAAGAAGGCTAAGCGGGCTTCCATCGCCGAAGAGCCTACTGTTCTTTCTGTTCCTGAAGCCGCAACCGAGGAGAAGGACACTATCCAACCTGAGCAAGCAGCGACTGTACCCGAACCTGCTGCGGACCCGACGTTTGTGCCTACCATCGTTTCTGACACCCTCCCTGAGACCGCCACCGCCGAGGAACTTACTTCTGACACCAAGCCCGCGCTAGAAGTGTCTGTTGAGCGCGAAGCAACTGTCGATACCACAGCCCCATCCGTTGCCGAGGCGTCGGTTCAAGAGAAAGAGCAAGCATCAGTGTCCAAGGAGCCAATAGTTGAGTCCAAGCCGACTGAGAAGACGCTGGCTGCCGATGCACCCGTGCCCGAGGTCACTGAGGAAGTCGCGGCTCCACTCTCGAAGAAGGACAAGAAGAAGGCAAAGAAGGCGAAGCGCGTTTCGATCGCCGAGGAGCCCACATCAATCCCGTCAACTCCCATCGAAGAGAAGACTGAGCCAGCCTTGGAAGAGCCTACATCTTCAGCTACAGAGGTACCCGTCTCGGAAGTTCCCGTTGTGGAAGAGGTGCCAAGCACTTTGACCGACGTTACCGAAGACACTTCATCTCACCTTACGCCTGCCGAACAGCTCATTGCTACACCCGAACCTGCTTCCGAAGAACTCAGTCAAGTTGAGGCTGTGCCAGAGATTACCAGCCCGGTCTCAAAGAAGGACAAGAAGAAGTCGAAGAAGTCGAGGCGCGAATCGATTGCTGAGACGGAGACGGAGACTCAAGTAGAGACATCAGCAGAGAAGTCACTAGAGCGCGCTCTTGACACTGCTGATACTGCTGCTCCGGTTCCTGAGCAGCAGCCCGCCGAAGCCACATCAACGGAGCCTACTGCAACTCCCGTGATTGTTGAGGAGCCAAGCAAGAGCGAGGTGTCTTCTGCCGTTCCAGTTGAAGAAGAGCAACTTCCAGCGACCACAGTTGTAGAAGAGCAGCCATCTGAGGCAGTGGCTTCCGAGCCAGTCTCTGCCACCGTTCCGACCGAGACTTCGGCAGAAGAGCCCGTAGCGACATCTTCGGCCATCGATGAGCCAACCACACCTTCCAAGAAAGACAAGAAGGCGAAGAAGAGCAAGCGCGGATCAGTCGCAGAGGTCGAGCCATCTCTACCTTCCACTCCGGTTGATGAATCTGCTAGAGAGCTTACGGAAGCTGTCAAAGACGTTCCTACAGCTGAACAAGAGCCTGCCGTACCAGTAGTTGAGCAGAAAGAGCAGTCGGACGTTGCTCCTAACGTTTCCGAGGATGCAACAGCCCCCACTCCTGTTGTCGATCAGACTGTCACGGAACCTACGGAAGAAGAGGAGGCGTCATCGAAATCGAAGAAAGACAAGAAGAAGGCCAAGAAAGCCGCCAAGAACGCTGAGGCTGAGATTTCTGAACCTATTCTCTCCGCCGAGCCTTTGACCGAGCAGCCTTCCTCGGTTGTGCCTGACACGACAACTACGACTATCGACGAGGCTGCGCGCACGGATGTTGACGATTCGATAGCCCCTGCTACAGTCGCCACTGAGGACAACAAAGGCAAGGAGCCAGCTACCAGCCTCGATGTGAACGAATCTACCAAGAACGAACAGCTCAGCATTGCGCCTACAGCTGACAACGCGGTCGAGACCACCACATCAGACGCACAGACTATTCCTAGCACCACTGCCACCTCTACAGATGTCCAGCCGGACGACGAGCAAGAACCAGAGGAATGGGCTGGGCTATCGAAGTCGCAAAAGAAGAAGCTGAAGAAAGCCAAACGCGCATCCGTCGCCGAAGGCGAGGTTTCCCGGCCAGCGACACCTGCAGAGGATTTGTCAAAGGACCTTTCTGTCGAGCCTCAGTCATCTGTTCCCGAAGCGGTTGAAGAGACCACTACCGAACAGAAACTTGATGCAATCCAGCCATCTGCTCCTCCAGCTGTAGAATCTGTCAGCGATGCAAAGCAGGCTGAGGCATACCTGGAGCAGCTCACCGCAACTTCGGAGCCAACAACCTTGACCCCAGCTGAAGACCCTGCACCAACCACTGCTACACCAAACCCGTCACCAGGCGATCCCAAGCCGCCAGATAGAGAGCTCGAAGCGCCTTCGTCCCCTTCCTCCTCCAAGAAGGACAAGAAGAAGGCCAAGAAGCAAGCTAAGAAGGCAACACCTGCGGAGCCTTTTTTAGCAGATGAGACGCCTGAGGCAGCCAACTCTGATACTCAGCCGTCTCTGTCGATTCCTACACTTTCGGAGACCCAACTACCTTTCTCGGGGATACCGACACAATATCCCCAATCTTTTACGAATAACGAGCTTGTTGATGATTTTGATGATAAGAAGGAGATAGAGATTGATGATGCGGCGGAGGAGGGGGGAGATGAGGAGGAGAAAAAAGACGAGGAAAAGAGGGATGTTCAGAAGGAGATAGTGGAGAGAGGAGTTGAGGAAGAGCAAGAGAAGAAGGTGGAGGAGGTGGTCGCCGAGGCTGAACACCGTGGAGAGCCTTCGATCGTAATTGAAGGGTTGCCAGAGCAGGCTGCCAATCAGGTCATCGCTGCTGAAGAGAAACCAACGGAAGTGGAACAGTCTGTCGAGTCGACCGCGGCGCAAGAGCCCACAATTGCCGTTGCAGACGTTGCCGAGAGGGATATCGAGGAGCAAGCACCTCTTGTGGAAGACCTTGCGTCTGAAACAATCATTCCAGTCGATATCAGCGTCACTGAGCCATCCCTGGCTCTGGAAGCCGACTCAGCGCCCACACTGGAAGACCCGATTCCGGTAGAGACGCCCCAAGAACCCACACCTACTCCGATGGTCGTTGAAGAGGAACAACCGACTGCTCTGCCGCAACAAGACGAGCTCAAGGAAGTTCTGGAGGAAGCTTCTCAGACACCAGTGACACAACCGACCCGTTCACTCGGCGAAGCTGATGACGACTTGGCCGCCCCTTCTAAGAAAAAGAAAAAGAACAAGAAGGGCAAGCGCGCGTCTATCCTAGAGGAACAAGAGCAAGCCACCAGTGTTCCTGAACCTGAGCGTGACAACGCCTACCCACCAAGCGAGGATGTCACGGCTGTGGAACCCGAAGTACCAATTACGTCTGCATTCGAGGATGTCAAGCCTTTAGAGGATGTCGCAATTATTCGAGACATCGAGGTTGCGCATCCTTCCGAGCCTCAAGCAGATGCCAAGCCTACTGTCGAACAAGCCGCCCTTCGCAAGGACCAACATGTAACGCCTGATGTCCAAGAGCATGTGTCTGTGCCGGTCACGACAGACGAGCGCCAGGATTCAACCACACAGCCTGAGACTCCCGCTTCTTTGCCTGAGGTTACCGAAGAAACGACCATTGCGGAGCCTGTGCCCCAAGATGTTGAACGTACCGTTGATAACATTGAAGAGCCCGCCAATGTCGTTCCGGAAGTGGAGCAGGTTCCAACGCCGACAATCGAGGAGCCGACCTCTTCAAAGAAAAGCAAGAAGAAGAGCAAGAAGGCCAAGCAGGCGTCGTCTATCGAGACTATTCCTGAAGTCCACTCTTCTCAGCCAGAGGAGTTGCCATCCGTTCATGTTGAGCCAACCCCCCTGGCATCTGAACCAGTCAACGAATCAGAAGTGTCACGCGAGGTCACGGTTCCTGAACAGGTCGAGGATGTTCAACCAGCACTTCCGACAACAGATGACAAGACTACCGGCCCAGAAGAGCCGATTTCGAAGCCTGTCGAAGAGACGCAGCAACCTTCGCTACCAAGCATCGATCGTGACGCGCCCGCTGAGGTACCAGAATTCGTATCCGAGCCTCCAACGACAACACAGCTTGAGCCAACAACTTCTGATGCCCTTGAACCGCCCACGGAGGAGCTTCCCGTACCTTCGCTCTCGAAGAAAGACAAGAAGAAGAGCAAGAAGGCTAGGAAGCAGTCTCAAACGGAAGAAGTAGTGGAGGAGACCACTCCTGATGTACGTCGAGATGCTACTACGGAGGCCGCGCCTACTCCGGTCATTGAAGAAGTTGCCGAGACGGTCGTCGAGCCAATTGCTGAGCCGGTCGTAGAGTCGGTGGCCGAGCGAGCCATTGAACCAGCCACCGAGACAACGCCGGTCATTGAGTCCACACCAGTTGAAGATGTATCCGCACCAAAGCCTGAGGACATGCCATTCGTTCCAAAGACTACCGTCAACGAGGTGACAACATCTGACGATGCACCAGTGCCTGTCACCGAAGACACCCGCAAATCCCCAGAGCTCGCAGAATCAAAGCTTGAACAAGAAATGATCTCCAAGCCTGTAGAAGACGCCGCCCAGGTACCGCTGCCTGAAGATCGCATCATCAGCCCACCAGCCGAGACAGTCGGGGAGGACTTTGTTGGCTCAATCCAGCCGGAGACCACATCAGGTGCCCAAGACGGGCAACTTTCAACTCCAATCGTAGAGCCAGAGGCTCCACTCGAGATCGCTGATGCCGCACCGTTGTCTAAGAAGGACAAGAAGAAGGCCAAGAAGGCGAAATCGAAGGCTTCCGACGCTGTCACGCCTGCCAATGAAGTCGCAGTACAGCCCGAGGTCGAAACTGTCCAAGATGTTGGCGCCAGCAGCAATGAGCCAACACCTCGAGATGTGCCAATTTCTTTGCCTCAGGAAGATGCTGTGGTTGAGACAATCGTCCCTACGACTGACCGAGAACCTTTGCTGGACGACCGCGCACTTTCCATGCCCCTAACGGAGGAGACCAAGGAACAAACCGAGAAGTCCGATCTTACGCCGTTTCTCGTGGACGCTATTCCAACGCCCTTGTCTCATACTCTTCAAGAGCCTATCATTCAGCGATCGATCGAAGAGGTGCCAGTCAGCCAACAAGTGCCAGACACCACTGTCACTCCAGCAATCGTTGATGAGCGACCTTCCTATGTACCAACTACGGACGTTGAGCCTCAAGTCGAGGAGCCGGCATCCCCATCGGTCTCCAAGAAGAAGAGCAAGAAGAAGGGCAAGAAGTCAGATGTCGTAACGCCAGCTCCCGAAGCCTTGCCTACAGCAGACTCCGACAACGTTACTTCTACGATCGAGGACATCGCGTTGCCTACAGCCGAAGTCCAAGGCCCCATCACATCAGTTCCAGATGAGCAGCCGAAGGTCGAGGCTCCGATGCAACCAGAGACTACCGTACTGCCAGAAACCGTCAGTGAAGCACCTGCCACCGAGACTGCACCTACAGTCAACGAACCAGTTTCGGTACCAGAGACGACTGTCGTCGAGGAAGTCAAGAATGAGACCGTTACGCAGGAGCCCGTTCTTGAGCGTAAGCTGAGCAAGAAGGAGAGGAAGAAGGCCCAGAAGCAGGCCGCCGCTCTAGTCGAGGAACCCATTGTTGAGAAGGAGCCCGTCGTGGAGCCAGCCACGGAATCCACTATTGAGCCTGTTGTCGAGTCTACCGTCGAGCTCACCGTCAAGCCAGACACAATAGAACCAGCGCCTGCACTCGATACCACTACGGTTGAGCGTGTTCAAGAGACTGACTCAGTAGTGCACGAGCCTGTTGTTGAGTCTTCATCTTCGCGCAAGGTACCAGAATCAACGACAGAGGTTGCCTTTACACCGACGATCGAGCCATTGCCTCAAGAAGCAACAGTGGAGGACACGGTTGTTTCCACTCCAAAGAAGAGCAAGAAGGCAAAGAAGGACAAGAAGAGCAAGACGCACTCTGCTGTTTCTGATCTCCCCGAGGAGCCTGTCAAAGAAACATCGAATCTTCAGGAGCAAGTACAAGCAACGGAAACGTTCGAGACTGAGCCCGCCGCCACCGAGCGACTGCAGCCTATCAGCCTACGGGATCAGGACACAAAGATTCTGGAGACTGAGCCAATGACTTCGACGACCGCTCAGATCGAGGAGACAACAACGGAGTCTGTGAAGACGGAAGAGCCTGCTGTTCATGCCAACATTACTCCCGAAGTAATCGAACAGCCTCAAGAGCTGGCTTTCTCACAAGAGATGGATGTTGACAAGCTACCGGAAGATGTCTCAGCAGTAACTACTGATGTCCAGAACCGTTCTGTCCCCGAAGTTGATGTGGCCGATCCCACTGTCGCACCACCGATCTCTGAAGACTCCGAGCAACGGCCCACTCGGGAGCTGATGCCAGATGCCTCAGTCGAAGCGTCAGCGGAGCCAACTACCGTAGTGGAGGAGGCCAGGAGCCTCCTAGAAGCACAATCTGAGAGCATAGAAGCCCAGTCAGCCATTCTTGAACCGTCCATTCCGGAGGTACCTCTTGCATCATCTTCAATCGCTAGAGAGCTGCCATCGGAGATGCTATCCGAGCCTGCAACAGAAACAACCGACTTGAGCAACGAGCAGACACTAGCTGAGCTAGTGGAGGAAAGTTCTCTTTCGCGCTCAACATCGAAGAAGGCCAAAAACGACCGGAAGTCTTTTGCTGCCAACGAGCCTTCTGGACCCGCTACGACTGCCAGTGAAGCCCCTTCAGAAATCGCCACCGAGACACCCATTGAGCAAGCCGTCCCTCAGCCAACTCTCACCGAGACCATGAAAGAGTTGGTACAGTCTCCTACGCCAGCAGAAGAGAGTGCACCGGTCATGCCAGTAGTCGAGGAGACCCCAGTACCTGCCGTCGCCGAAGCTACTCCAGAACACAACTACCGGAGCCTTAAGGAGCAGCAGCCAATTGAGCCTATTGAGTCCACCAAGACACACGAAGAAGCTAGTCAAGGCACTCATGACCGCTCTGTTCCAGCAAGCGAGCTCTCCCCCTCTCTCAGGGCAATCCAAGATGAAGCTGCCGATCTGCGACTCCGTGCAGAAACACTCGATGCTGAGCTCGCCACACGAAACGTCGCTGATGAGCCCTTCACCATCGAACCCGCTTCCATGTTCGATATCGTCAACAAGCTCACGAAGAAGGACAAGAAGAAGGCGAGAAAGAGCAAGGGCAACACTGACGCTATGCCGACGACTCCTGCGGCCGAACCTGAGGCTGCGGTTGAGACGAAGGAAGTTGTCGAGACGCCCGCATTCGTATCTGCGCCGACCTTGACAGAAGAGCAAGCTGTCGATAAGAGAAAAGTGGTCGACACACCCGCGCTGGCAGAGGAGACCATTGCGACCGATGGGCCTTCTCGCAAACTGAGCAAGAAGGAGAAGAAAAGAAAGGGCAAGCAGCCTGCAGACGATCCAGTCGAATCTTCCGAGACAGCAACGCAGTCGAGCGCGCCGATCGTTGAGTACCCAGAGCCAATCGCCGAGCAGCCAACAGAGTCACCGTCAGTCGTCACTGAGCCTTCAGTAGACACTGTCGCGCCAGAGCAAACTCACCAGGCTTCCCGTTCCATCGATACTGAGCGAGTAGTACTTGATGAGCCAGCTGCAGCCGACATCCCGGCCTCATCTACCGTCACCCAAGATCTTCAACAATCACTTGTGGAAAAGGAACTAGTGTCGTCAAGGAAGCTTAGCAAGAAAGACAAGAAAAGGGCTAAGCAAGCTGCCGCGCTAGAGGATGCAACATTTTCTCTATCTAAGGATGTTCCGTTGTCTACTTCGACTGAGTCTCGGGAAGTAGCTTTGCCTGACTATGAGGTAGCTACGTCAGTGCCAGCACCTTCCAGTGAGGGTTTCCCTGCGACGAGTGTCGAGGCTTCCAAGGAGGCAGCTATTGAGGAAGTCCCGGCTATGACGCCGAAACAACGTGAGGTGGAGACTCATGTCGATACCTCAATCGTTACACCAGCAGAGGCAACCACGGACAGTCTGCCACCACCAGTCGTCGAGCAACAAGAGCCAATTCTCGAGGAGCCATCTATTCCGTCTCGTAAGCTCAGCAAGAAGGGCAAAAAGAGAGCCAAGCAGGATGCATTCCCCGCGCAGGAACCCGAGGCGCCTGTTACGGTTGATGCACCGTTGCCCGAGACCAGTGAGCCCATCGTTACGGAGATACCGCACACAACCCAAGAGGTATCTAGGGACACTTTCTCCCATGGACCAGCGACCGTCGAACTTCCAATCGCGACGAACGTCATGGAAGAGTCATCTTGGTCAGAGCCATCTACTTTGCCACGATTTGACGCAGAGCCAGAGGTTAAAGTCACCGAAGTCCAGCCCGAACCAAGTCCCATCGACCTTCCCGTCAAGACTTCGATTACGGAAAGCACCGAGCAACCTCGCGAATTCCCTGCTGTGCGTGAGCCAGAACCAGAATCTGCGATTGCTCCGACTCTCGCACGCAAAGAGAGTAAGAAAGACAAGAAGGGCAAGAAGCAAGACGTGCTTGCTGAACAGCCTCTCACATCGAGAATCGACGATGTAGTGGTCTCTGAAGACGTCCGAACCGAAGAGCGTTCTCTTGACTCGTCAAAGCCTATGGACCAGCAAGTCACAGCTCCTATGGACATCCCAAATAAGCCCACACAAGACACGACAATCGCGCCAGTCCTGGAGAAGCAGCCCCAAGAGATCATCCCGCCAAGGACTTTTTCAGAAGAGCGTGTGACCGTTGACGCTCCAGCGACCGAAGCCATCCCCGAGGCCGAGACGACTCCCACGAAGAGTAAGAAGCAAAAGCGCAAGTCGAAGTCTCCGACGACTTCAAGAGAGCCCGCTAGCGTTGCGCCCATCGTCCCGGTCGAGGAGACTGCCCCTGAACCGACTGTTGCGCGTCAGATTGTGTACGACAACCGCCAGGATACGATCCGAGAACGCAGCCTTTCTCCCAGGAAAAGGCCTACAACACCGTCAACGCCCGGGTCGCCAGTAATTGGAGCAATTCTCAGCCAGCCAAAGAGGGAACACGTCAGGTCCATGTCCAACGTCTCTATCCCTGATCTCCACGTCAGAGCCAGTGAATCCGAAAGCACTACTCAGCACCCTTTGTTGCACAAGAAGTCATCCAAGAAACACAAATTGGCAGCTTTGTTTGAGCGCGGCAAATCGCCTGATGGTCCTCCTGCGGAACGAGGTCTGCGAAAAGAAGGATCTGGCAGTGTCAGAAACCTCGCCGAGCAATACGAGAGTCAATCACGGTCTGTCACGCCCATTCTACCTCCGTCTCCCGAGAAGCGTTACCTGTCTCGATCTCCATCGCCTGAGAAGCGTCAACTCCATTCTCGAGTTGCATCTCGTAATCAACTTGGCTTAGTGTCGCCAGTGCGATCAGATTCGAAGTCTCCCGCGAGAGACATAGACTTTGCGGCCACTGTCGCCGCCAGTTTGCAGGAGTCTGGTTTTGATCCAGGATACGTCATCAACGACAAGTCTTTCCATCGCTCGAACTCCATCTCAGGAGCTCGCGATATCACGCCCGATGATGATGTTGCCGCTGCAAAGGAAAGGGCCGGTAGATCTCGACTGGGTAGCTTAAGCCGCTCTTCGTCGGTCTCCGGTTCGCCAAAACTACGACCAGCCCAGCCCAGCGGACCCGATGTTCTGCCACCCATCGAAGTAGCAATGGCAACGACTGACACTGCATCGTTCGACCCACTGGATGTGCTCAACGACCCCGCTTTTGCAACGCGAAAGTCGCCTCCTGGTGTTCTTGAAGAAGCTGACCCTGATGAGCTGGCCGGGTCGTCAAGTCTGAGAAGGAAAAAGAGCAAGAAGAAGCGTCATCCGATACCAGAAACTCCAGTGGAATCTGAACACATTCGCGAAGAAGCAGACGCTTCAGTTGCGCCGATTGTTCGAGGCAAGAAGTCAAAGAAGGACGAAGAAGGAGCTCCACGTCTGCAAGACCGTGTTGAGTATGCAGCTGCAGAGACTCCGGCGATCGAGGCTCGTCGAGATGTGCCTCTCGCTGTTGAGACTCCAGCTGACTCCACAGTCCACGGAATTGAGCCTGCTCAGTCCGTACCTCGCGCGCCAACCTCCACCGATGTCCTTCCGAAGGTGAAAACGCAAATGACAGGTTTGGAAGCCAAGTCTATCGACGTCAAGGAGGAAGAGTCAAACAGACAAGACACGATCACGAGGAAGGAGAGACCCAAGAAGCCAGTGAAGGACGGCAAACCTGCAGTCACTGAGGATGTACCTATATTACCCGTTACATTCGATCAGGAGGCCCGTTCACTGACTGCTGGAGAGCCGAAGGAGTATCCATTTCCACAGGTGACGCAAGAGAAGGAGATCGAGAGGGAGACGGAGGAGACGCGCAGGCGAGAGTTGAAGAAAGAGAGGGATATGGATGCATGGGCTCCATCGCCAAAAAAGAAGAGCAAAAAGAGTAGGAAGGTTGAAGAGAAGGTTGAAGGAGAGTCGAGCAATGCGCCGAGGGACGCATCACTAGCTGAGGCACCGGCTGCCGTTCCTGAAGTTCACAAGCGCAGGACCCATCCTGTATCCTTCGACGACGAGCAGCCGGACGAGAAGCGCCTACATACATTGGAGTCCACTCAAGAGCCTCAATTCACCACTGAGAGAACAGCATCACCGGCGCATGTTGTCGCATCAGAACGCTCACACTCCGACAAGCGCTCCAAAGAAGCCAAAGCATCAACGCATGGTGCAGCACCCGCCAACGAGCCCTCATGGTCATTCGCCGAAGTTCGGGACAACAGCAGTCAGAACTCCGCCACTGCACAGTCAGCACAGCCAGTTGAGAAGGCAGCACGTACGCTGAGGCGGTCCAAGGAACCGAAGACTCCTCTAAGTGCATCAAAACGCTCGATTGCAACTGATCAAGATGCTGAAGACAGCCCTGCCTTACCAACACACCCAGTGATTTCTGGCGCGACAACGCCAGGCACCGACTTTGCGACGAAGGAGCGAACCTCGTATCTTTTCGATTCCTCGCCATCAACACGCGCCTATGGCACCTCACCAGCAGTTGGGCCGCAAACGCCCGCTCATGATACTCAGAGGGTTGATGAGACTCCGTCAAAAGACAAAGGCAAGAAACCACACACAGAGTCGCAGCACGGTCGGACATCGCCTACGAAGCAGATCGCACAGAAGGAACCATACCAATCCTTGTTTGGAGATCCAAATGAGAAGAAGGGTGAGACCCTTTCCACGCCTGTCGCAAAGTCCGAACGCACGCCAGGCACCAAGCAACTCGAGTCCATCGAAGAAGTCAGCCCGGATGACACAAAGCACAAGAAATCACGATCCATAGCTGATGTCGGCGCGCCAGAACGAGGACTCAAGTCAGCTCGTCGCACCGAGAGTCTTAGGCAACTTTCTGATCGCCTGAGATCACCTCCGCCCAGCACGCCAACACCCACGGGTCGTCGAAGTGTGGCATCAATGGCAGACAACTCAGGTGGAAGAGACTCACCATGGTCACAGGTCAACGACAGCGTTGACCGAACCATGACTCTCAGCCCCGCACGCCGCATGCCTCGCTCCTCTCCGAGCGCAGACCCGTTGAAGCAGTACATTGCTGAGCAGCGGTCGCCCAGTGTCCAAAGTCAGCGTTCTCTGAGCAACATCGCGAGACTCAGGTCTCCGGATCAGGAACGTCCTATGAGCTCTATGAGCAACATCAGCACGCGTTCGGATCGGTCGTTGAGAAGGGTGGACCGGCAAACGTCAGGTGACCTCAGATCAGCCTCGAGGCTTGGCGAGGCCAGTGCGCAAGACGCTAAGAGCGCGCAACCCAATCTCTCCAGCACGGCGCTCGCGGCTGGAGCAGCAGCCATCGCAGGTATCGCCGCCCCACCGGTTTACGACCCAGTCCGGGGTACAGGTAGAGGTCGCCGTACCAGTATGGCCGAAACCTTTGTAAGTAGTTCGCAGTTGTTGCGCACGTCGCTTCTGATTACTGACTGTGTTTTGCAGGAAGCATGGGGTGAAGCCCAAAGGTCGCCTAGCTCGCCCTCACGTCCACCAAGCGTGCGCAAACGTCAAAGCATGCAAATCATGGACCTCCAGACGCAACTTGACCAGCTAGCTGCGCAAAATTCAGCTGTCGAGACCGCCAAGGCTAAGGCTGAGGAGGCTTTGCAGGCTGCACAACACCAGCGTCAAGTTGACGAGCAACTGGTACTTGAAGAAGTAGAAGCACGTGACCGTCAGATTCACCAAAGGGATATCGACATTGCGCAACTCAAGGATACGCTTCAGCGACTGCAAGAAGAGATTGCGCGCCTGAATCAACTCAACAACGCACTAACAGACGCCAATCGCAACCTGACCAACGATGCCAATGAACGATATGGTCAACTCCAGTCCGAGGGACAAATGGTGCACGAGCAATGGCAGGCATCGCAACGAGAGCTAGAGAGCCTTCGCAGTCAATACGCTCAGCTTCAGGCTGAAGGCCAGGGCATGCAACAGCAATGGCAAACATCACAACGAGACTTGGAGGAACTTCGCCGTCAGCATACCCAGATGCAGCGAGGTCTCGCAGATGCCGTCCGCGATGAAGTTGGCGAAGCACTCGATGAGCGCAATGCCGAAATCGACCGTCTAACCGCAGAGCTGGCGACTGCACGCGAACAGATCAAGAACCTTCAAAAGCAGATCTTGGCTTCGAAGAAGCCTAGTGAGAGCTTCCTCACTGTTCGCGATGAAGACTACTTTGACAGCGCTTGTCAACAACTCTGTCAACATGTCCAGCAGTGGGTGCTGCGCTTCTCCAAGTTCTCTGACACTCGCGCATGCCGCCTTTCATCAGAGGTCGCAGCTGATACACGACTGGATGCATCAACGCGTCAGAAAATCGACACTCGCCTTGACAATGCCATTCTCGATGGCTCAGATGTCGATTCACTCCTAGCGGACCGTGTCAAGCGCCGAGATGTCTTCATGTCAGTGGTCATGACTATGATCTGGGAGTACGTTTTCACCAGATACCTATTCGGTATGGACCGAGAACAGCGCCAGAAACTGAAGGCGCTGGAGAAGACACTTTCAGAAGTCGGCCCACCACGCGCTGTGGCACAATGGCGAGCTATCACACTTACCCTTCTTGCGAGAAGAGAGCCTTTCATGCAGCAGCGCGCTCAGGACACTGAAGCTGTGGTGCACGAGATCTACAGCACACTCTCGACACTTCTTCCACCACCATCGCATCTGCAGCGCCAGATTCAGGAGTCGTTGCGCAACGTCATGCGCTTGGCAGTGGAGCTATCAATTGAGATGCGCACACAACGCGCAGAATACATCATGCTGCCGCCGCTACAACCGGAGTACGATACCAAGGGCGATCTCGTCGCCAAGGTCACTTTCAACGCCTCTCTAATGAACGAACGGTCAGGCGAGACGACGTCGAACGACGAACTCCAAGCCCGTGGGTCGGTGGTCAAGATTGTACTGTTCCCCCTAGTCGTCAAGAAGGGCGATGACTTCGGCGAAGGCGAGGACGAGATTGTCGTCTGCCCAGCCCAGGTCCTGGTCGCCGGAACCAAGAGCAGGAAGGTAGTGAGGGTCATGAGTGGAGCGATGTCGATCAATCGTCCCGACTCACGAGCAAGCCGTATCAGTCGGGTAACGAGCGTCGCGCCCCCTGAGAGCACGATCATGGACTACGAGCAACCCGGTAGCAACATGATCTAAATCGACGGCCGTTTGAATTACGAATTTCTTCTCATCTTACCTTGATAGCGTGGGCGGATTTTGTGTTTGGCGTTTGGGATATCATTTTACAACTTTACGAGATTTCCTTTGTTTTAGTATTAGCAGTAGTTACATAGCATCACTTGGAGCGCGTTTAGCACGATTGTATATTAGTCACGACAGCACGACAGCTGTAAATAATAATCATTTTACGAATCTGACAATAATCCCTTTCAATCCCTGAATCCCTTCGGATCTCTTGGCAAATCTCATTTGCACATGGCGACAGGGAAATCGCGATAGACAGCGCCAGATCCTCGGTTGTGGGCTCCATCAGGATTGCGCCAGCCTTGTTTTGGGGCGACCCCGCTCTCTCCCTGGTGGGCGTGGCACAGCTGCACGACGAAGGAGTACCACAGCCGGTCCGTTTAAAGAGTCGCGACGCGCGAAATGTAAACGCTATCCGTTTGTGCTAGTTGCGGCTTCACACGCGCTATCCCGACCACTCTTTCCGACCTCCAACCACCCAAGACACCGTCACGATGCCGATTCGAAGCGACTGGACCCTTGCGCGCGAAGGTAAGCACCGAGCCATTGCCGCCTCAACTGTCACAATGGCGATAATTCGAGTAGGACGCTTTTCTAACGTGAACAGGCGTGACTGGCGATACTATCAGCCGCCTCATCAGGTACACGGCCTTCAACCCGGCCCTCACGCTGCCCCTCATCCTCCTTGCGCGCTACACGCACCAAGGCAACGCCCTTGCCGAAGACCATGCCGCAGCATTCAAGGGCCTGAAGACGCTGCTGGGCTTGGGTGCGCTGAGCACCGTCAACGCTTGGCTCAACAGCGGCGTGACCAACAACTGGAGCGGCGATGCCTATGTCTGGAGTCGCGAGGTCGTCGTTGTAACCGGGGGCAGCGATGGCATTGGCAAGATTGTTGTCCAGTTGCTCGCCGAGAAGGGTATCAAGGTCGCCGTCTTGGATGTGCAAGACTTGACGTATGAGGGTATGTCTGCAATTGAGCGTCAATTGCTTGGAAGATATACTGACACTCACCAGCCCCATCATCTGTCCGCTTCTTCAAGTGCGATCTCACCGATCCCGAGGCCATCGCTTCCGCCGCCTCATCCATCCGCTCCACACTCGGTAACCCCACGGTCCTGATCAACAACGCCGGAGTCGCACGCGGCAAAACCATCCTCGAGTCGACAGAGAAGGACATCAACCTCACCTTCAAGGTCAACGCCTTCAGCCACTACTACTTGACGCAGCAGTTCCTTCCCGCAATGATCGCCGCGAACCACGGCATGATCGTGACCGTCGCCTCCGTAGCCGGCTACCTGTCCGCGCCCTCGATGGTCGACTACGCGTCCTCCAAAGCCGCCGCCCTCTCCTTCCACGAAGGCCTCGCCGCCGAACTCACCGCCCGCTACAACGCCCCCAAGATAAGGACTGTGCTCATGGCCCAGAGCTACACGCGCACCGCGCTGTTCGAAGGCTTCGATTCCAAGGGCGTGCTTTACCCGGAGACGGTTGCGGAGAGCATTGTCAAGGCTGTGCTAAGCGGCAAGAGTCAGCATGTTGTTCTGCCGGAGACGAGTGGGCTGTTCATTCCGGCGATAAGAACTTGGCCGTACTGGATGCAGTATGGGCTGAGGAAGAGGCTGGGTAAGCTTATGGCGGGGTGGAAGGGCAGGCAGGTTGTCCAGCCTAGTCTCGCGGGAGAGGAGAAGAAGGTCGAGGATAGTACTGTGCTTGTTGATAAGGAGTAGGAGGGTGATTGATTGGTGGAAATGTGTGGTACTGTCCGCAGTTTGCACATAACCTTCGGTGATTTGTGTTGCGGTTGAAGTACTCAGCTGTTCATATTTCTTTTGATGTGTTACATAATCTTGCAGTATACCTTTCATATAATGAGCGACATCACCAGCGCATACTCAATTGAAGTAAATCTACTCTGGCTACGGAGGGTCTGAAGACAAGCATCGCTCTCAGGAATGTGATTTGAGATAGAAGTAGACCGTTAAGGAATGACGTAAGCGTACACGTGGTATGCTTCAACATCATAGGATGGCAGGTATATATTACAAAGCCTTCTGAAACCCATCTCGATATCTTAGCTACTTTGCCTTTTTCATATCTTCCAAATCGTCGTACGACACATGGCTCATCTAACACGGGAAGAAGTCCTCAAGTCGGGTGAGGTGTCCGAAATATACAGAAAGGTAGGTACCATAAGCCCACCAGTCACTTCCTATACCACTTCATCACCATTCCTTCAAAACCCCAGCCCCCCGACCCCTACCCCTAAGCTCACACCCCATCCCAGGCCTTCACAGCCCGCCCATTCCAAACAACAGGCCCAGACTTCTTCGCCCACCGCGCCTCCCGCGCAGCCCACCTCTCGCAGCTCCGCCACCTGTACCCCATCCCCGGCCCCATTCCAGAGCACGTAACAGAAAGCCTCCACGACGTGCCCACCCGAGATGGAGCCTCCATCCGCGTCAAAGTGTACCAGCCTGTTGCGGGTCCGCCGGAGGATGGCAGCCCACTGATTATGATGTACCACGAAGGAGGCTGGAGTATGGGTGATTTAACGGATGAAGATATGAATTGTAGGATGTTTACGAGGGATTTGGGGGCTGTCTGTGTTAATGTTGAGTATCGGTAAGTGGCAGAACTGTTTTCATGTTTCCAAGGTCGTTCCATGTGACGCTTGTCGTTCTTTTGATCATGTCCTGTTCTCATCTTATACGCCACCATCGACAAAAGACGACCTACTCATATACCACTACAGTCTAGCACCCGAGCACAAATTCCCAACCGGCATCCATGACTGCCACGACGCCCTCCTCTGGGCCATCAAAAACAGCGCCTTACTCAACGCAACACCCACCCGCGGCCTCCTCGTAGGCGGCGCCTCAGCCGGCGGCAACATCGCCGCCGTTCTTGCTCTTCTCGCCCGAGACACAGCTTTAAACCCACCCATAACGGGACAGTACCTCTGCGTCCCCGCCCTCCTCCCCCACACAAACGTCCCATCCCACCTCCTCCCCCTCTACCAATCCCGCACTTCTAACATATTCGACCCCGTCCTCAAAGACATGGCACCAGGATTCATCGAACCCATCTACGAACCCCAGGAAAAGTCCCCGCTTTGGGACCCGTACAACCATCCAGATGGACATATGGGTGTCGCGAGGGCGTTTTTCCAGGTTGGCGGCTTGGATCCGTTGAGAGATGAGGCGGTGCTTTACGACAGGAAACTGAGGGAGAGTGGGGTCCTGACGCGGTTTGAGCTGTACAAAGGGTTTGGACATATGTTCTGGACGAACTATCCCGAGTTGGAGGAGAGTAAGGAGTTTAGCAAGGACACGTTGGAGGGGGTCAGGTGGTTGTTGGAGAGGTAGGTGGGCGTTGTGTTTGTGTATGTGTTTGATTGATTTCATGTGAATACGATACACTATGAGCATGCCAACCTACACGTCTCCTCACACACACACACACACGTAACCACCTCAGCATCTCGCAAATCAGCGATACCGACCAGTAGCATCACCCCACTGATACCCGTTCCTCCAACCCCACTGCCCTCTTCTCTCATTCCAATACCCCTGCATCCCCGGTGGATTACCCATATGTCTCCAATGTCCCCAGTTGAAGTGCCCGTGAGGCACTTGAGCGAGGTTGTCTGCTGTGATGCGATCTGGGCGGCGGTAGTCGGCCCAACGGACGCCTCAACCTGTCATACTGGGAATGGTGCAAGGGTGGGTTACTGTGTAATTAGTTTGCTTGTGGGGTTTGTGGGTTACTTAATTAAGCTGGTCAGGCTTTTGGGGGGGAGTAGTATAGTTAGATGACTGAGGAAAAAGACCTCCGAGGTACGCATATAATGGAGGAATGTGCTGGCATGAGTGTTAAATTGGGACTTGAAGGATGTGATGCGTAGCTTCGGTCATGAACAGATATGAAAAGATTCGACCGAGAAAATATTGTACATGCTTCACGCCCATGTAGATGTTCAAGGCACCAGCAACAGATACAGTAGAACAACTCAGAAAGTACGTGGTCCGGGAATAGCACTCTGGAATGTGAAAGCTTGTATTGGGTACGGAAATACACTGTGGGTATAAAGCCATGCTAATGACGACCGTGAACCTGTAAGAAAGCCTTTACTATCGGAAGCGTCGAATAAAGTTGTATGGGAAGCATATGCCTGAGAAAGTGGAAAATGCCTGTAAAGAAACAAGACTCAGACTACGAACCACCCCTTGGACTGCCCGAGGGCGCCTTGTTGACCAGACTGGAGAAGAAGGATCTCAGCTTCTCGTTGTCGTTGATGTTGGTATCCTGTGTTTTGGGAGGTGGTGTTTCAGGCTCGTCTGATCGGTTGGCTTGACGGTCCTGGGGTGAGGTTAGTATGTGTTCATTATCTCTTCGGAAGGGATGGGCTTGTGCTTGACGTACCTGTAGCCTCTTGACCATTTCGTCGGCGTTGACTTGAATTCCACCCATGTTGAATTGTACAGGTCCAATATGCTCTTCGACAACTCCCGATGCGTCGTCGGTATAAGTCCTAGAGATTGATGGATCTTGCTCTTTGCGCGCAGCCTTCATGGCAGCTTCATTCTCATCCTCCCGCCGCAGATTCTCAAGAACGTTGACTTGATCGGCAAGGAAGGCCTGTGGATCTTTGCTTGACACTTCGAGCCCGTTGGCTTGTTTCGACAAGCTGGAAAGTGCGTAGTCTGACTCGGGGTTGCGAATCGTCTCTTCGTAGATTGAAGTCGCCGATGGGCCTTCCTCTTCTTCTTCAGCTGGCGCAACCTGCGCCTCTTCGCCGTTCGGTTGAGCTTCTCCGTCGACGGGTGCAGGTACTTGGCCATTGGTCGGCCGCATGTGCTGGGGAATGTCGATGTCAACACTCCATTTCTCGCTGATGCCCTCCACATCAAAGCCCTCTCGTAATATACGAATCTTTGCCCATGAGTCCCAGTTGGGTGGGACCAGAACCCGATCGCGATCCGTTACATTGTGTCTGAGTTGCTCTTGCTTGAGCAGAGACTTGATGCCGAGCGTGGAGTGAATGAGCGTTCGCAAAGATCCCGGCGCCGTCGGCATGGTATATACCAAGCTTGAGCCGTGCTTGAGAAGAATGGTGCGCATGTACTGGAGTATGAAATCGAATTCCTCCTCTTTCCAGCCCCGCTCCTTCTCAAGGGTCTCGATCTTGTCCGCGTTCTGGCATACCACACATAGCGGTATGCCGAGCGGCTCATCCCATTCTCCCGGGCCAAGTGGTATCTTCACGTTCTCCATGCTGCTACCTTCGGATGGGAGGTTGCGGCCCTTGTCTTGTAGGGTTTGGATGTTCTCCTCCAGAACTACTTTGGAGTTGTCATCGAGCGAGACGATAAGCGATCGCAGTACTCTGATCCAGTCGCGCAGTTGTCGTATCCACAGCCATGGGTGGTTCCAGTCCAGGAGTATGACGATAAGCATGTGCGGGAGGGTTCGTGGGTTGAGGTACGGCTTGATCAAGGGCGTGAACGACGGTGATGGATTGGCGAGGAGGTAGAGCGAGAGGCGCGCAAGAGTATCTGGCTTTGTTAGCGATTTGTGTTGTTATAACCAGTGACACTACATACCCTCGTGATCCGTGTCCAGTACATCTTGGTACGTGTAGCCCAGGGCGAATTGATTGGCGATGGGCGGCTTCCTGCCCCGGTCTGGCGGTCGCCTATTGTTTGCAGAGTCTGTGGATACTGATTCAAGGAACTCTCGCTGCGTCTCTGGTGTTCCGCCTGGGATCGAGTATTAGCTAGATCCCCTATTCTGCGTGTCGTGGCCCTCACCCAGGACGAGTAGACTCTTTTCCGGCAGTCGCTTTCCACTCGAGATGTTGTCGAGCATGGGCTTCCATATTTCCTCTTTGTCCGTGTCTCTGCTGCCCGGCCGGTCGTGGCTGCCGGGGACGCGTGTGGGGAAGTTGGAGGTCCGACGCGCGCTCGCCATTGCGGAGGTGCTGCGGAGCTTGGTCGCTGGTGAAACGTGACGTGCCCGGCTGAGCGATGCTGCGTAGATGATGTATACAAAGTATGCGACGGATGCGGAAAGGCTAAGGCGGCACGGGGTGAATGTCTAGTGGGGTTGCGGTGTGCTTGTTTGGCCGCATGTTCGCTGGTACCTTTTCTGCAGGGATGCGGCTGCTGGCCAAGCCCGAGCTTCAAAAGTTCCCAGCGGACCTGCCTGCCCTCCGATACGACGTCTAGAATACTGCGCCAACATTTTTTCCGAGTCGCAGCGACATACAAGAAGCATTCGAAGATCCGCGATCCATGTCTGAACAGCCATCACAGCGCTAGTGGATCAGGAAGCGACGCCCAACCCACCCGCCGAACGCGCCTTCCTCACTTCTAACCTCACCACCACGAACACGCCACGCCCACGATGAACTCGGTGCGCGCGATCCAGCAGCTCAACAAGCGCGAGCTCGAAGCGGGCATCAACCCAGAAGGTTCATGGCATACCGACTACCGCGACACAGCCTTCATTAACATCGGCGGCCTACCCTTCGAACTTTCAGAGGGTGACATCATCACCATATTCTCTCAGTATGGCGAGCCGGTATGGGTCAAGCTTGCGCGCGACAAGGAGACGGGAAAGTCACGAGGCTTTGCCTGGATCAAGTACGAAGATCAGAGAAGCTGCGACCTGGCTGTGGACAATCTGGGTGGAGCAACCATTATGGACCGAGTCATCAGGGTCGACCATGCACGGTACAAACCTAAAGACGACGAGGATATGAGGGACAATACGATGGGAGATGTCGATCTTGACGCGGGCAATGAGTCCGATGGCGGCAGAAGGAAACGGAGAAAGACAGAAAGCGAAAGCGACTCGGACGACGACCGACCACTACTACCAGAGGAGATTGAGCTAGGGCGGCTTATGGAGAAGCTCGACGAGGACGATCCGATGCGCGATTCCATGATCAAGCGCCAACAAGAGAAAGTGGACGATGCTCTCAAGAAGCTGAAGAAGCAGAAGCGTAAAGAAAAGGAGCGGGCAAAGCGCAAGGATAGGCATAGTCGGAGAGACAGGTCGAGAGACCGAGATAGGAGCAAGGACAGAAGAAGGATAAAGGAAGCGGGAGAGGACGATGCGCGTGACAAGCACTCGCGTCGGAGGAGCAAGAGCCGCGACAGGAGTCCGCGCGACGACCATAGGCATCGGAAGTCAAGACCACGAGATGACTCGGAGGACAGACATCGTCGCCACCGGTCGGAACGGACTCGAGATCGGAGCGAGAATTCCAGAGAGAGACGCGATCGGCATCGAAGGCGTGAGCGAAGGCGCTCAGGTTCCGACGGCGACGATGCAGGGCCCTCACGGCGAAAGCCATCGCACTCACCATTACCATATCGCGCTCGTTCTCCCTAGTCGCCGGCTATACCTCTATGATTGTCGGCACATGCTCTGTCGCTGTCTCAGTACTGTAGTATTATACCTGAAATTTTCATCTACCACTACGAAGTTGAGTAGCTGGTTATCCCAAGCATTACGTTCCAACCAACAGCCTCCTAGCTACCATCTCAAGCTGCAATTCTACAGCCTCACCTCTCCCTGCCGCTTCAAAGCCTTCGGTGACTATCTCCCTCAAACGCGTCAATCCACCCTGCTGTTCAAAGCGTTTTCCTCGGGACCAGGGCACAACCACCTCGATCTTCAGCTTCCTCAGACTGGAAAGCTGATAGACTGGCTCAAGCCTCAATCGCTTCTTTACGTCCTTTTTTGGAGCCAGCTTCACTGGCGCTGGCGCACGCGCAAAATCCGTTAGCCAGAAATAGTCCAACTCGAAAATTAGACTGCGCAGTCCAGTGCACTTGGCAGCCAGATCTTCACCCGTGGTTATGTACACCTTCTGGTGTTTCAGGCCGTAGGCGAGGAGATCGCCATAACAGAGCATGCGCACGTGTTTGAAGCCGTCGACAGCGGAAAGAAAGTTCATCAGAGGAACCACATGCGTTATGCTGCTTTTCAAGACCGTGAAGCGTGTGTGGCGGATTCAGACAGCGAGCCCTTCCTTGTGTAATTGCTTGCTGGCGAAACATAGATTTGGGAGTGTAGCTGGCGCTACGGTCAGGGGCGAGATGTCCTTGTAGGCCTGGACGAAGTACCGTGTTGAGAGGCCGTCCATTGCGTAATGATAGACCTTCTCACGTATCTCGAGCGGAAGCTGGAGAAAGCGTGGGAAGTAGTCTGGCACGTACTCTTCGCATTCCTCGGCCTTGGTAACGATGTCGGAGCGCGATGGCAGCACTTGAGGCTTGCGGGGTCGAGGTTGATGGCGCACTTTGCGCTCGCCGTGTCGGGGTACATGGAAGATGTACTTTGGCTTCCTGGGTATCTTGTGATTGCTTATCCCCTGAGGACTAGACGCAAAGGCGAAACCGAAACCGAAACGCTTCGCAGTGCGATCAGCGGCTATCAGCGAATCGATGAGGTAGCAAATTCGTCCTACAGCCACCGCCACGATGATTACTGCGAGAGCGACTCTCAGATTGAACTCCATTGCGTGTTCAACCAAAGTTTGCGGGTCCGTTGAAAGGAAAGTTGAAGGTCGAGTGAGAGGAGCGGGTAATTTATCATCTTGGAAATTGCTCCACGGATGGGTAAACGGAAGTTAACTGTGCTCAAAGCTTGAGGCGCGTGTGGCAATAACAGACAGCTTCTCGCGTTAAAACTGAATCTTTTCACAAACACAGTGACAAAACAAGAATATCTCTCGCTACTAAGGATACTGATGCCGATCTGCAATCATGGTGAAAGTCGATAATTACATGTTCCTCCGAAGCAACTTCACGCGAGCTTCTACTTAACCATAGTCTTAGAGATCATACATCTCGTCCGAGACGAGTTGATCGATATCGGTCTTCTCCAGCTCGGAGTAGCCAATTTTCGCCCACTCCCAACTAACCGTTCAAGACCCTGACTCCACTGTCCGCCTGAAATTCTTCGACTCTATGCGGTTTGACCAGGAAGACGTCGCTCTGCCGGTAGTTCCCACACGGGCTGGTTTCTGCTCGTCAGTTCTAGACGTGGCTCCTCGGTGGGTAGTTCGAGCATAGCCTTATCATGAAACTCAGTTGCAGTAACCGGAAGCTCCACTAGAGGGGAAGCACGTCGTCTGTAGCGCCTGATGAGCAGTATTATCACTGCGGTGAGAACACATCCTCCCAAAGATCCGCCTACCCCAGCGCCAATAACGCTTGATTTATTACTCCCGGTGTTTGCAGAGTCCACTGGAGCGGTAGCCGTTGGGCCACTCGAGATCTGAGTCACAGACGCAGTGCGCGATGGCGTCGTAGCCGCGTTCGAGACAGTGGAGAAAGCCGACGACGACGACGAAGTACTCTCAACCCCTGTGTACGGGCCTATAGTAGCGCTCTCCAGCACAAACACAACCGACGACGTCTCACAGCAACTCTGCGACTCCCCCTGCGACTCGCAGCAGTACTCTGCCTTGACACCATATCCCTGCTTCTCACACTCCCATATTTGCACGCCACCGGCCCGGAAGTCGTACGCACTCGAGTTCAGCGGCGTGTCTTGGTTGAGCTGGCAATGCTGTGGACAAAGCGGACTGGTCCAGGTAGGATCGGTGCAGGTGCCACGTGCGTAGCTTATGCCGCTGTCATTGTCTGTGGACTGCAAAGCGCAAAGTCCGTTGCTAAGGCATGTATCGCGGGATGGGCAGCATTGTGTAAAGGGCGCGTCGGGATCGCAGGGCACGTCTGTGCCCATGGTCTCGCCATTAGGGTAATAGCAAATGTTCCCGGACTTTGCATAATGGATAAGAGATAATATGAGTATGCTGATCTGTAGATGCATGGCGAAAACGTGAGGTGTGGAACGATGTAAGAACGGCTTCAGCATGGAGGAGGTTTCTGTTGTGTTATTATGGCCCCCATCTATTCAATGTTACACTGCATAATGGGGCTCAACGGGCTGAAACGTGACTAAGATGTCACCAATAGACGGGGGCTGATGACGATTGTGGATGAGGGTCGTGGCTGGCTGAACTCGCCTGAAAATTCCTATCCCGTCGTATTTATTTGGGTATATCTACCAACGCCGCCTCTTTCCTATCTATGACATCTCTACGCAGCCTGCTTCTGGCCAGTGACAGGGCATACAGCCCCATCCGCCGCACCCTCTACACTCGGGTGTGTAGCGACCTTATCCTTGTGGTGTCCGACTGTCGCCTTTGTGACTGGGCAGATGTCGCCGGCGTTCGCCTTGAGCATGTCTGGGTGATCGGGAGGAAGCACGGTTGTAGCTGTGCCTACGATCGGGCAGAGAGCATCGTCCATTTCTTGGGCCTTGGTCGTCTTTACGTTCTTCTTGAGCGCCGGGCACGATGTAGCCTCGGTGCCTTGGGTGGGGACGGGAGGGTGTGCGGAGAGGTTGTGGTGGTGGTCGCTGGTTGCGCCTACGACTGGGCACTATGGGTTGTATGTTAGTAATGTGCAGGCAGATACAACACATTCTTGAGTACGTACAACCTGACCATCCTTCGCTAGGTCGATAGAGGGGTGGTTAGGAGGAAGCACATCGTTTGTGGTACCGATCACGGGGCAAGACATGTTGATGGAAGTGTTGTTGGTGCTGTATTACAAAGTCCGGTGTAAAAGTTGTAGAGATTATAGCTCAACAAGAAGTGAAGAGGGGTATCAAAGCGGTGTATATGGGCTTGCTAGCAAGCGCCAGACTCTTGCTGCACCTTGTATGGCCGCCTCGAAGCTACCCCAGATTTGCAGGGATCGCGTCGCTAGCGCCTTTGTCATGGCCATCATGTCCCCGCTGATTGGTTGAATGGCTCGAGCTTGAGCTCCATAACGCGCGCCTTTCGAAGCTTCGAATACAGCTAACCTTCTGCCTTGTTTCTGCTTCCGGACTTTCGCATTACTAATGAGTGTATCGCATGTCGGTGTTCAAGACTAATTGCTTTTCACGTTAGAAGACATCATGATACCGAACTTATGAGGGTTATTGGTAATCAACTTAGGATGCCCGGCGATGGCCTGTAAGCACCAAACTTAGAAGCTCAACAAATATCAGGATGCTAGACGTTTCTCTTTAACCAATAATACAGGACAGGTCCATCTAGACAGTTATAGCAGGTCCAGCCTTAACAAGGGCTTTTGATAACGCGCTCTTCATCTCAATGCGCGACTTCACTTCCGCCATATCTTTATCGTCCAGCTCAACCAGGGTCCCGCGAACACGTCCCCTCCAGCATCCCCATCGGCGAACCAACTCGACTTGGATACCGCGCTCCGGATTCCGCTGAACGAGGAAGCTCTTCATCATCCACTTGCTTACTTCTTCTAGCACATCTAGATCGGCCTCCTTGCCGCCTCGAGACGGTCGCATGTATATACCGTCGATGTACACCTCCTCCAACTTGGTACAGCCGAGAATTGTCTCCAGCTTGAATCGGTCGATGACTGTAGCCAGAGGAAGTGCCTTGCGTTCCCAGTCGGTCTCCGCACTGCTGAAAGTCACCTTATCGACATGAAAGGTCATGTCGAGCTTGCGAAGTTTCTTGCAAGCGACAGCTAACTTAAAGCTGGGGTTGGTCAGGGCTGGTGGGATGCGTTGGTTGTTGAACCAATGCATGTGCGGGAAGTTGAGGTGCTTCACCGCGTTCTCGCCGCCGCCGCCAGGAATCGCCTTTATGAACTTGGTAAACCAAGTTGCGATCTTGAAGTTAGTGTTTCGGAACATGTACTTCAAATCGAATCGCTTGGTCCTCTGCAGCATCAAGACGAGAACTTCCTCGTGCATCTTGTGGCTCACGAAAGCGAGGTTTGGTAGCCAACCCTTTGGGCAACGGCCTGTGCTAGCGTTCGGAAACACCTTGCGGTTCTGATTGTCGCAAGCGATGAGCACGTTGGGATACTCCCACTTGCAGCACGGATTGCTGAATTCGTCGTAGTGCTGATGCTCGCTCAGGCGACCAGCATCACACTCCATCAAAGCATACTCGTGCATGATGGACTCGCGGAGCTCTCCAGGTAAGTAGAGGAACTTCTGGAACCAGTCCGGACAGACGTAGGTTGTGTATTCAACTACCTCGGAAAACTCGCGGAATGCGGCGATTTCCGGGTCGTTCCAGTTGTCGAAGTCGTTGGTGTACTCCAAATACGAGCCGCATGTTGTACGAAGATCGGAGAAGATGAACCCCAGAATGTTTTCAAACACGTCTTCGAACCTATCCATGTAGGTTATGGCTGTTGGGAAAACGCGCCACTCCTCTATGCCTGTTATATACGCAGTCTCGTCCACGCAATAGTCACACCAACACTGGCATTCCCATTCATCCCAGTAATCCTCATCCGAGTCATCCAAATCTCTCGCTCTGTTATAGCAATGGT